TGATTACATTTTAGAAAATTAAAATAATATTCTTTTAAAGTAATATCAAAATATGTGATGTGAAGTTTTTTTTCTTCCTACATACATAGTTACTATAGCAGCGAACGTGTGTCATCTAATATCGTTTATCAGAAGTCAATCAAAGAAAAAAACGGTTGGTTAAAGTTATATAGAGTTAAGTTTCAAATTAAAGAGAAAAGAACTCTGAATTCAATTTTCTTTTTGTATAAATAGAATTCAATGAATATGATGAAGATAATTATAATTCTGTTTTATTCTTTGTCATTTTTTTAGTACTGGACGTTTGCCTCTGATCTATAATTTTAACAATGTTCTTGCTATTTATCATCATGATGTTTATGTACGATTACGAGACCGTGTGAAAATAATTCATTATACATGTTATAAACCATTTCATATCGCTAAATCTAATCAATTACCTGATCCGGCATTAATTGAATTATGGAATATATGGCATCAATTGCATAATGATATGCTCAATCAATCGTTTATTTCCTAAAACCCTACTATCACAGTTTCTTATTCTTGTCAGATAACATTTTTGTATGTTTAAAAATAGAATTGTTGCATTTTTAATATTTTTATAATGTGCTAAGGTACAAACTTTGATAAATTGATTGATTTTAGTAAAATTATTCCTCTTAATGATGAATATAATATGATTGATCTATTAATCATTGGGGACTGGTAAATTGCCAATGTTAGATATGTCCGGGACCAAGACTATGATAAAAAAAAAGTTGGTGTGGGTGTGACTGCGAGTTTAGTTCTTCTACTCATACACTCGTACCCACACCTACACCCATACTCAGAAATATGTATCCTAAATTGAGTTGAATTCGTAGAAGTATCCTCTTTTTATTCTAGCAACTAGGGTGCTGATGAGATATTTCAACCAGAACAGCGAGACGCACTCGTTGGTTAACGATGAATCTAGATAATTTTGAGCTTCATACATCATTGCTTTAAAGGTATCTATCGATTCTGAATTAAATTTCTTCAGATCTCTTTCAAATAGTGTATAGATTATTATACTTTGCTTATGAAGTTGTTGAAAACTGAGATTATTTCGAACAAGTAAAGCCGAGTCAAAATCATCCGATGGTGATCCTTAAGCAGAGTCAAAATCTGAATTAGGGCATGCTCACCACACGTGCCCCATTTACAGAACGATGATCGATTATCACTGGAAAACACTATTCAAACAAATGCCACAAAATTATGAGAAGAAAGCAATTTTAATATTCACACAGTCAATCTTTTGCAAACGGAGAATGATGAGAACGCACAGATAAACAATCATAGCATTGCCTAAAACAGTGCGTACAATATATGGAGAGAGAACTTGAGTAATCAAACTTCATCAACTCATATTTAAAGAGTTCCTATCGTCTTAACCAAGAAAAAGTGAATTTTCTTGAACTAAATGAACTCGATTAAGATATTAGTTGTCTAATGAGACTGATTGAGCATCAATTAAAATCATTCGTCGTAGCTTGATGCACATCTACATAAACTTAAACACAAATCTCGAATGAATCATCGTTTGGAAGGAAAAAAACTCAAAGATTCTTTAACACTGTTAAAGCAATAATGATTGTGCGAGAAAAGTACTTATAACGAATAGAATATTCGAGAAATCGAAATAATATATTATACGAAAGATAAAGTAATAAAGAAAACGACATTTCCGCTAGAGTAATTCATGATTAAGAGAGAAAGCAATAATAATTATACAGAAAGGAATTATAGGTTGACTGTATAATACCGCCTTCTTGTTTCGTATCGCTGTCAATAGGTGATGAAAATCAAGCATGGAAGAAATACAGTTCTGAAAACGGCAATTCTCCAGCGTCTATAAATAGTGCGTGAATTTGATATGAGGCGAATAGTTTGTTCAGTCTGAAGAAGCTGTTTTACAAACAACGAAAAAAAAGCAGTATTAATTGATAATACAAGCAAGGAAGGAAATAAATCGTGTCCCATTTTGGTATTTGTTTATTAGTAGTATGCAAACTTTTGTACTCTAGAATTGCTATACTTGAGAACGTAAATATTATATAGACTATTTATAGCTACTGAAGACGGTATATCAAGTAGACCAAGTGCGATACCTGGAGTACTGGTTACACCTGGGGTGTGATGGGGTGTGGGTGTGAATAGAAGACTTTGGGCCACACTCACACCCACACTCTAACGCTTTATTTTTCAATCTCTTGCGAGCGTGCGCTAAGAAAACAAAATATTAGCAATAAAAACTAGCTTAGCCAAAGAATTTATTGCTCAATGATTCAGGTTATTATATAAATCGTACTTCGAATTTTGTTTGCGTCAATCAAAATGAAATAAACGGTAAAATGTACTAAAAAGGCTATAGTTGCATCTAAACCACGATCTTGCATAGTTCATGAAAACTTTGAGACAATCGCTAGATCGAAAATTAGGGAACAGTCTCGAGTAGATCGTAAAAAGTTACAGGAATAGCTGGTGACTGTAGCGTAAACTTATGAATGAGAGAAGTCTAGAAAGTCTTAGAGATACTTATCAAAACCAGACCTATACATCTCCTAAAATTTATAGTGTTCATCAGTGGATATTGACTCGCTGTATTGAATCTTTTGAATTATCGACATGGAAAAAGTCCAAGAATTAGCACTAGATATATTTTAAAAAGTTATCAGTTCGAGTTCAGTAATTGTAAGTCGGTCAGATCATAAAAAAATTCATCAGTCTATGCTGTCAATTTTCACAATCGGCTTTATGCACGTTTTTGATACTGATTTATCTCCACACATCAATCAACATTGAATGAATATTAATTATCAATAAAAAAAAACTGCTGAAATGAAAATGGGCTATTTCTTCATAATAATCACGTTTGTTGTAAGTTTCTTGAAGGAACACATTTGTTCTGAGTGGGCAATAAAGAGCATAAAAAACAAAAAAAAACACTTGTTTTATCTTTCGTTACAAGAAGTCAATTTTGATTTTTTCTTCCTCTTTCCTTTGTTAGTAAAACAAAAGAGAAAACATGCAAAAATCTCTTTCGCAATTAGTAAGAAGCGATTTAGCTTGAAGTGTCTTTTTGCTTCTCCGGCACCATTGTGATGGCCTGAAATTACCCTATTTAGTTTCAAAAAGAAATGACTTGTTTTTAAGGGTTTTCTGTCATTAGAAGAACACATCGATGAAATGTTTGAATATAAAATGTTGTTTTTTGACCATGTCTGGTTTTAACAGTAACGAATAAATGTCTTTACCGTAAAACTCATAAGAGACGAATCAATAATTTTTTTTTCAATTGAAAGAAGCAACAGTTGTAAAAGTGTTGAATAGACTTCTGATAAAATTTTCAGTTTTTTAGTATCAATCAATATTAGAGATTTAAAATTGTTTTTGTTGCAAATTTAAAAATCCTTCCATGTTTTCTCTCTTCAAAATATTCCTTACTCAAAAAAGAAAGCCTTCAATATCGTAGACAGTGTTTTATTCTCATTCAGTAATTTAAGCTAATAACAATAGAAATATCTATCCGGGTTCATAGTTTTGAAATGGTCGAAAGAAATCGAGTTATAAAATAAAATGATGAATATATGGAACACGAAACGGTTATACACAAATTTATTCTAAAGTCAAAACACACATGTGATTTACCAGATCATCCGACTGGAAATTTTCGATGTTGTCCAAAGTTAATGAAAATTACATGATTCGATAGAGCGTTAAAACTTTAGTCTTGGGTACAAATTTTCAAAAATAGGTGCTGCATAGCTTCCAACAGATTTCGAGTATATAAGTGTGGGTGCAGAGTGTAAGTGTTGGTGGAGGTATAGAGCGACCCTGATTTTAGCCTGTATGCATAGCTACGAAGATTTGTGGTGCATTTTGCTAGATTGTTGTTTTGCAATTCAATATAGATCTTGCTTATATAATCAAATATGTATAATACAAATTTGATATGATTTGCTAATGGACACGTAACAGTCTTTATATGTTGATACGCATTTTTTTGTATAATTTTTGGCGTTCGTTTCATATTCATCTGTATGTAACACTCTCGGTTGAGTTTAGTGTGTATCGTTATATAGTATCACTTTCTTATTGAGTTGACTGTTCATGCACATTGTTCCAACTGTATCATGTTATCGAGTGTTATATCATGCTTTGCTCTTCTCTCTTACATATTGTATACTGCTCATCACTTAACCGTCTGCTGCCGCTCATCGTATTCAGTTTATCTTTTCTCCTTATATAACCACATATCACTATTTAGTCCAGCGCATGCTTCTACTCTGATCAATGTTCAATGCTTGCTCTTTCTCTTTCTCTCGTTATAATATCTATTCTTGTCCTCTCTCGTTCTACGCTGGGTATATAAAGAGTANAGGGGGGGCCTTTTTTAACCATTGAGACCCCAGGATCTCCCTGAAGGAAGCATTTTAGAATCTTGAGCCTACGACAACTGTTGTTCTATTCATCGAGGTCTATCTACCCTGAAAGTTTCAGAAAATTTCGTTGAGCCGTTCTCAAAAAGTGGCGGAAAGGGGAGGGATCCCCTTAAAGAAAAACTATTTTATATCTCTATTTGTGGTTTACGATTGTCTCAATTGAAAAAAAACGAATTTGATGATTAAAAAGTGTGTCACTAGTATGGCATTATTTCCTTTTGCAAAAAAAAAATCAAGATATGAATCTATACGGAATAATAAAAATATTCCAGAAGGAAAAAAAACAAACTTATTCTGTTGATGGCCTAGGTGATGAGTATTACAAAAAAACTGTGTTATGTTAACCAGTGATATATATATAAATCGTCAAAGGGGCTAAGAATAACATGCCTCTCGAATGAGAAATGTTAATCTTCTTTGGAAATTAAATCATCGAAACAAACGTGCATGAATAGTTTCTAATTAAAGGCATAAAATCAATTATTTATTCTTGTATTGATCAAGAAGAATCATAAAATCTGACTAATTCATTCATTCAAATTTGACTCTACTTACCGATGATTTTTTGTTTAAATCACATAATCGGTTAACAATAGCTCCCAATGTTAAATAAGTGCTTTGTTCAAGTTGATTATCAATTGATGCAAATTTTGATAAGCGTTCCTAAGAAAAAATAAAACATCATTATTAAAATTTCAAAATCCAATCAATTAAATACCAAAATTTTTTCAAGTAATAAATCCGATGGTCTTGGTGCAAAAGCACTTGTCATAAGAAACACTTCAATTAATTCAACTTTATTTTTTGAATTCATTGAACTATCTAAATATTTCAAAACTGCATTTAACGAAGCAGGTGTCTGTGCAGATACAAATGCTTCAATAAGTGTTAATCTATCCAAAACAAAAAACAAATTATTTATTTATTTTTAGTTTACAAAAATCATTTACTTAATTGTTTTCGATGCTTTCTCAAGTACTTTATTTAATGTCGATTCACTTTGTCTTCTTGTAAGTGCAATTAAATGTAAAAATGCATCACTTGCTGCTCGTTTGCCAATATTTGAACGTGTTAATTCTTTACTATGATCTTGAATAAATTCATCAAACTAAAACACGAATACAAAACAGTCTAATAAATTGTGTAAGATGAATTGTCGAGCAAAAAATTAGATTTTGCTATATAATACAAGAAATTTAGAAAAACACAAAATGTCTGAGCAAAAAACAAGAAATAGCCATTTGTCTTGACAATCAAAGATTGTTTCGAACCATCATTCGGAATCGACATCAAAGACTACGTCAAATAAGATGTATTTTGCCAAAAAAAAAATATTTTTCATAAAAATCCAGTCCACAACCTTCAAAATGGAGTTAAAAGTAACTGAGAGAGAGAGAGAGTAAAAGCAAGATTTTGAATAAAAAATATTTTTTAGCAAAATACAGGTTATGCAATGAAGTTTTTATGCTGACTCTGAATATCATATCTATTTAATTCAAAAATAAACTTTCGGAGGAAAAATTTCAAAATACAATCGTATTCTATTGTAAGCATTCTTTTTACAGTGTTATAGAAAACGTGAATTTTCTCAACCAAGCTAAGGCATAAAATAAAAAGAACACATAGCTTTTTATCTATGAGTCTGATCGTTTCCCATTGGCAAAATAACTTTTCGATGAAATTTATTTTTTAGACCCAATCCTGAGTAGGACCAGCGGTGAACCTTTCGAGAAAAAAACAGTTTGTCAAAATATCATGTATTACTTTTCATTCAAATCATAATTTTCTTATCAAAATCTAGTGAGTATCAGAAAAAAGGCAAAGAATCTTGTCTCGAGAACAGTGTCCTTAGAATTTGCTTTATTAGTCAATGTTCTCTATACCATTTTGAAGCGCTTGTAAAGTTATGTATAACAAGTGCTGATCATCATCAACAGTCGAGTTCAATGTACATCTGCACAGCACAAATAAATGTTATATGACTAATTTGACCAGGGCTTACTTTCGAATGCCTTGTGTGATAGTTTAATATAGCAGAAATTGAGCTTCTCAAGAAAGCTATTTTTCAACAGTGACAGACCCCACCCCCTCCTTTCTTGTCTAAAATACGATCTTAAAAATCAAAAACTAAATATCGACAAACAGCATCTTGAACTTTATCCACTCTAGTAAATATAACACAATGCAATCTCATTGTTGCTCGACTTTTGCATCAGTAGCACCTTACTTTTTCACAATAATCATCGCATGGATGAACTTGTTTTTCTGTTTCAAGTGGATGATATTGTTCAGCTGTTATATCTAGTCAACAATAAAATATAAAAAACTAATAATACATTTCAAATATAAAGGATAATATTAACCTAGAATTGATTTTAATGCTGCATCTGAAGTTAAATATACTTGATGTTTATCATTATCTATTTTCTCAATAAGATCAACACTTAATCTAATAAAAGCAGAGCGAACAATAGATATTAAATTTAATACAAACAAAAAAAAATCTACCGTGATATAATACGAAATCCAGCTACTTGAGGTAAGATTAATCTTGGAAAAGCCATATCCGAACATGATGCTGATTTAATTGTTGAATTATCCATTGTATAAACACATGTTGATTGAAAATCAATTGAATAATTTAAAACTTGTTTTACACTACTATATTCATCACTATATTGAATATTTGAACATTCAGTTTTATCCTTTACAAGATGATCTTCATAAATTCTATATTCAGTATTACATTTTCCTAATGTATCTGTTTCTGTGGCATTATCTTGTTTATATTGAAACAAAGATATAATTCCTTTTTTTAAATTAATAGCTGCTAAATTATCATTTTCATTAAAATAAGTTAATGATATTGTTCCTTGATCCCACATAAACATTGATGGATATCGTGTTAGAGTACTTAATGCTAAACAATCAATCATACTATGAGTACTTGTTCGATTAAGAAAACGAGCATCTTTTAACTAAAATTAAAAAAAAAACAATGCATAAATATTATGTTTTTTTTCCGAAAAAAAAATTTACTTCGATTTTTAATAAATGTTGTTCTCCATTTGCACTACGCCAAACACTCGTTAAATTAAGTCGAGCATATAAATGAAATGCAGCATCAGTATTACGTTTCGTATGACTTTCTTCAGAACCTGCCCAAATTTTATGATCCATATGAACATCAGTTGCATAATGATATATATAATCAATATTTGATTGAAATCCATACGATTTATTAATAGTTTCATTGGTTTGTTCTATTCATAGAACCAGAAATAGAAAAAAGTAAATCTTCACTTTATTTTTTATTTCAATTAATTAATTTTTCATACCTGTAGCTAATGAATAAACTGGTAGAAATAATAAAAGATACGTGATGATGATGAACATAGCCATGATAGCAAGCTGGAAAGAAAGAATGATTAACACTAGAATAGATGAGTACAGTAGAAAAAAAATTCTTCGTCGACTTTTTTTCTCCTTTTTCTCTTATCTATAAATGAGTAGAACGCGCATGTATTTTATCATGGTCCTAGTTGATATTCAGTGGATGTGTTGTTAGTGGTAGCGATACTACAAATATCAGCCAATGTATGAAAGCCAGCAATCATAAGTTATAACGGGCATAAAGAAAAGAGAAGAAAAGTCGTTTCGTTATAGAATAAATAAAGATGGTTTGGGAAAGAAAAGGAAGAATGACCCGAACGTACATATATATGAAAGAAAAGTATTAATCAAGATAAATTCGTTCGAAAAATATAACTAATGTTTAGTTTTTATCGAAAATCAATCGTACATACAGATTATGATTTCTAACATATATAAGAAGATAACTATGTAGTGGATACTTCAAATCAGTATGTCTTTTATGTTTACATATACATGATGGGTGCGAAAGAATAGATGAGCCTCTCAATATCTCTATCATTTGTCATTGTTTCGAACTGAAATTTGTCCGAAAGATGCCGTATGATATTTTTTTACACAATCTTTGGAACATACTCGTTGAGAAAATAGAAGTAAAACGTTTATTCAACAATTACTGTGACTACGTGTTGGCAAGAAATATCAATCATGAATTCGCAACAAATAAAACAATTGCTAAAATTCTTTAAAGCAATATTTCAGACATAATGAAATGTGCTTGAACTTCTGTGATGTATGATGGATAAGATTATTTTAACAACTATTAAAAATAAGTCTATACTCTGAATGCAAGTCCCACATTAACTAGACCTTCTCTTGTGATTTTAACATGATCAAGAGCAAAAACATATTTAGCCATTGTTGAATTAAACAATTCTACAGTAAATCATCAACTTATGGACTAAAATGTGCGTACTACAGAAGAAAGTTTTGCTTCGAATAAATTGTCTGTTCGCGGACACAAAAACGTTCGATATCAAGACGTGTTTTTATTTTAAATCTGAAAAATAAAATAATACGTGTTTTGCACGAAAGATGTTTGTTATTATGAAATAGAGCTTTTCAAGCTTTACACAACGGACAGTAAAGCTTTTTCAGATTTCAACATTCGGATACAAAAATACGACAAATTTCAACTTTATTCTTGAAAGTTACCAGCAATACATTGTCAAATAAATCTTTTATTTAAATGTTGTTAACCAATGCTTTTCTATGGTTTTGTAGAGAATTTCATGCTTCTTCTTCTTATAGAGAAAGTTTAGTCCGAATCAATAGCAAATGAAACAGATATTGAGAAAATACCGCCAGATTCATTTATTCTGTCGCGTTCGTTATCTTTGAATCACTTAGCTTGTTTATTTGGAATTTTTGTTAAAAAATTAGCTTAAAATAATTATAAATTTTGAATCAATAGTTGAAAATAGGCATTCATCAGTATTGAATAACTTTGTGAAAGGCATTCGTTAATAAGCTGAACCGATAAATCTAATATGAAAAACTTCATCATTACGATTTTTAGATGACTTTTGCGTTATTTTTTTTTTTTTTTTGTATTAATAAATGTCAATTGAATTTTTCTTACTTCTATATCAGATTATGGCAGTTAGGTTTGGTTTTTGCAGGAATACATTGTAGTCTGTCTTTTATAAAGTGATAAATCACAGTGATTCAATGTAAAATTTATTTTCAAATGTTACGCGAAGTAATATTCATGTTCATAATTTCTGTTTTCCTTCGAAAAGTCACAATAGAAAATTGATTAGTTGAATCAAATTGGATCGTATCAAAAAGTCTTGTGTTCAATTATTTTTTTGAGTTTGTGTCTTATTTGGTAATCGCGATTTTACATTTGAATATTATCGATGCAGTCTGATGTATTTATAATGAATATTACCATTTCATGTCTGAGAATTCCAAATATATCGTCGAGTCTACCACAAGTCAGACCGCTTAAAATGAATTGAACACCTCTGACTAGTGTTTTTCCTAAATTTTCAGTAAAAAAATCTTCATACTGTAAACAGAAAATGTATGTATCAAAAGATACCGTGAAGTAGCATTGTCATTGGAATATTATTGATGATATTTTTTTTACCATTTTAACTAGACACAATCGTAGGTAAAAATAAATTATGACTGCAATATTCATTATATAACTATTTAGTTTATTTGTTGATTTCAATATTTCAAATCATGTATTATGATTATTCTGCATTGAATCATTGATTACAGCTTATTGTCTCCTGATTCATATTTATATTATCATAATACAGGCAGATACGCTATGTTCGCTTCAACTATATGGTTCATTGAATTCATTCAAAATGTTCTTATTCAAAACCATAGATTTTCTTTATATATGTTGATGTGTTCTTTCATTTGTCTAATCTCGACAGATAAATGATGTATTAAGTTAATAAATGTTTCGTAGAGATATATCATTTCAGTATGCATGATTTCATTGCCTTCTTATAAAGATAGTCTTCTTGTTCCAGTCAATTACTATCATTATATTAGAATTTAAAGTAATATATTATGGACTGACAGATCAAGTCGATAAGAACGAATGATAGTCACAAACAGACTGAAAAAGGTTCATAACATGTCATACACAGACTACGCCTACGAAAAGTAAACTTATTCAAGTCTCTGTTACGCATCATTATAAACAGGTAAATGCGATGTTGTTACTTCAAGTTAAGATCATTACTATTTTTCATATATTATCTATGACTATGAACATGTGCACAACTCATCCACCAATTGATGGTATTTGAAACAAAATTCACAAATGTTTACATAATTTAGATAGTTATGATTCGAAATGGATACTAGAGACAGAATCTGTTCGTTCTTTTTTGGAACCAAACCGAATCAAATCCATCTCTGAAGGATATCAGTTAAGAACAATATTGATTTTGGTCGATTGTAGTATAGAATATTCTGCCTGTATATACGATGTATCAAACAACAGGTGATAGATATTATCCTATGTCAGCAGTAATTTAATAGCATTGAAAAAATGAAGTAAAATCTTATTGTACAATATTAACAGATTTACTTCAAATTTGGTTACTTTTCTTGAAGGTAATCTCATAAACGTAATAACTTTTATCATAGAAAAATACAACTGTAAGAGTATGTATTGTTACAATCTTAATACCTTAAGTCTTTTGACAAGCGAAGGATGATTTACAATGAGTGCGCAATATACTAACAAAATAATCATAAACGAGAGAAGTGGATATCAGTTTTTGATTATGACCTTGCCTTCTATTTAAAGCAGCAACATTACTGATAACTGGCGAAAAAAAAAGTTGGTTGAGTACAATTTTATTCATTACTGATGCAGTCACCTCGTAGCTTAGTCTTAATTGGTGCTTTACTTGGTCTTATTCCAATTGTTTTGGGCATTGTGGCACTTGTTACCCCTAAATGGATCAAAATATTACATATAAATTTCAGTCTTCTTGTATGTGGTACTTCGAATATTTGTTTAAAATCACCAAGATCCAATATCACTAACGGTTTAGAAATAGCTGGAGTTGCTGCAATAGCGATTGGTGTAATTCTTTCGGTCATTCTCGGCATGTTTACTAAAAACCGATGGATTTATCTGTTGCCACAAATTTTTCTAATTTCTGGACCAATTCTAATTCTCATTGGCATTCTTCTGTATGCAAAATACATAATTGAAATAGAACGGCCGAATTCCGTAAGCCTGGGCTATAGTATGATATTAATGGTCATCGCTTGTATTCTTGGTTTTCTCACAGCCATATACTATGCATTTGTTGCTGGATCCGTTCAACATAATAAGCATCATCGTTATCATCATACTTCTTCGAATGTTTTTTTTCGACAAACTAACCTATTTTGATCATCTCGAACAACCTTATTAACTATGAAAATAAACTTACATTAAGTTTTATTCTTGCAATATATTCTATTTAAAAAAAAATAGTGCTAAAACATTGGTAAAACAGCATTATACCAATTAAAAACTATGTATCTGTAATTCATTTGAAAAACGATACTTTACTTTTTTTTTTTCTTGTTGTCAATTTAAAAAAAAATGATAGTCGTAGGGCTTTGAAGTGACTTCAACTTTAATATTTCAAGTTCGTAATACTGTCGACCTCAAAAGTCTCGCCCCACTTTTTTGTTTTGAGTCGTGTATTAAAACTATACAACATTAATTTAATTCAATTATATGTTTGGATAGCAGAGATCGAGTAGTATATATATACACCTGTTCAATTTCGAAAAACTCTTGAATATGAAATACAATAAGAAAAACAAACTTCA